GTTAGGGGGCCGAGTTCAAGTCAGCAGGAGGCACACAGAATGCTGCAAGCTGAGCAGATCAAGTTTCAGCCTCACATCCAGAAACCAGCCTGAACTTCACTGGAACTAAGGTTTAGGTTTGCTGGGATTATCCACTACCATGTTGTCAATCTATGGCTGGCTTGCTGGGATTAATCAACACAGACCTGGGCTCTCTGTACCCTGTCTATCAGTGATGGAAGAGACATGCCCTAAAGTGGACATTTTTTTTCTTTTTCTCATTCATTTATTTATTTTTTTCTCATTTACTTTTGTTTTTATATGAGTGTGAACATTGTTTCTAGCTTTCTTGTTGTTGTAACGTTCTGTTCCAGTTTTTATTTTTTCCTCTCCTTTCCCCTCCTGTCTTCTTCACTAGTTTTCCAAAATTTGCATAATCTTCCTTTACCCTCCAGCATTGTTTCTAATCTCTTCCTCTTTTTCTATTTCTCTGTTTTTTCCCCTTAACCCCTTAAGGTTAGGGTTAGGGTGAGAAAACAACCCCCAGCCCAGATTGATGTACCTGTAAAACTATCTCACAAAATTGATGGAGAAATACATTCTAGAAAGAGATAACAAGGACTACAACTTCATGAACCTTAACAGAATAAATACACTAAGGAAGACAAGTAATTAAATAGAAGGGGAAGCAACAACATGAAAATCACATGACAAGGATAGTCAATACAGTTATAATCATCAATGTTGATGGTCTCAATTCACCAAGCAAGAGACTGGATGAATGGATCAGGAAGCAAGAGCCAACAATATGTTGCACACAAGAAACACATTTAATTCAAAAAGAAATTCATAGAATGAAAGTCAAAGGATGGAAAACAATACTCCATGTGACAGGAATCTGGGAAAGAGAGGTAGCTATGAAGTTCTTGTAGTTTCTTTTGCCATTCATTCCCAATTTTATTGCACTATGGTCTGGTAATATGCATGGGATAATTTCAATTCCTTTGCATTCACATATGCATGTTCCATAAGTTAGCATGTGGTCTATTGTGCAGAATGTCCCATGTGCAGCTGAGAAGAATATGTATTCTGATATTGTGGAGTGGAACACTGTAGACATCTACTAAGTCCATTTGTTCAAAAGTTTGGTGTAGTTCTGATAATTCTTTGTTGATTTTTTTCTCTAGTTGATCTATTTGTCACAGTTGGGTATTGAGGTCCCTCATTACAATTGTATAGTGCTTATTTGATTTTTCATGTCTGTTAGTATTTGTTTTATATAGTTGGGTTTGCTGGTTTTTGGTGCATATATATTTATGATTGTTATCTCTTCCTCTTGAATTTTTCCCTTTACACAGATGTAGTTATTTTCTTTGTCTCTCTTAATCAGGCTAGGCTTGAATTCTACTTTATCTGCAAATAGACTATTACTACTTTTATTCAATATAGTTCTGGAATTAGCCAGAGCAGTTAGACCAGAAAAAGAAATAAAAAATAAAAGGAATAATGATAGGAAAGGAAAAAGGTAAATGATCATTATTTGTGGATAATGTGATACTGTACCTAGAAGACCCTCAAAATTCTACCAAAAACTTCTAGATTTAATAAACAAGTTCAGTAGCATAACTGGATATAAACAACACTCAAAAATCAATAGCATTCCTGTATACAAGCAATACACTCATTGAGAGAAACCACATCTTTCACAATAACATCCAAAAAATGGAAATACCAAGGAATCAATCTAATAAAGGAAGTGAAAGACTTTTACATTGAAAACCATAGTACTCTGAAAGGAGATCACTCGGAAGGCTGAAGCAGGAGGGTTACTGTGATTTTAAGGATATCCTTGGTTACATAGTGAGTTTAAAGCCAGCCTGAACTACATGGTGAGACCCTGTCTCCATACACACACAAAAAGGAGATCAAAGAGGATATCAGAAAATGGAAAGATATCCCACGTTCTTGAGTAGCAAGCACCAATATAATGAAAATGGCCATGCATCCAAAATTGTTATACAAATTTAATGTGCTATCAAAATATCAACTGTATGTCTCACAGAATTAGAAAAAACAATCCTAAAATTCATTTGGACCCAGAAGAGATCAAGAATAGCAAAGGCAATTCTGGGCAACCAAGGCAAGTTAGAGGGCATCACAATCCCTGACTTGAAATTATACTACAAAGCTACTGTGATACAAACAGCATGGTACTGGCAAAAAATAGACCTGAGGGTCAATGGAACAGATTAGAAGATGCAGAAGCAACTGCAGATGTACTTAGCCACCCTATCTTTGACAAAGTAGTCTAACACCTTCACTGGAAGAAAGATCGCCTCTTTCTTCCAGTGAAGTGCTGCAAAAACTTATTTTCTACAT